CACGCCAATTTGCCCAATAAGAACTTGAACGAGAGTGAGTGAATATCCTTGAACGAATGATGAAGCTTGAAGGCAAGATTTAAAGATTATCGCTTAAGACTTAAGATCAAGGGACAAAGTTTCCAAATTCGAATCCATAAATCTAGTCAAAAATAAAATTCGTCATCCAAGTATTATGTGTGTCCAAACAAATGAAAAGTCCACGAGATCAAGAAGAATTTCGAATTCTCCAAGACGCCTCGATATATTTAAAAGCCCTTCGTCACCCCCAATTACAAATCATCCCCATAAAGATTAAGAAGAATCGAAGATTCCTAAATACAAAGAATCAAAAATAAAACGAATCCCCGATTCCAAAAATACTCTAGTAAAACGAAATATGATTTCAATCTCCTCCAATAATATCCATCGTGTTCAAGAAATATATTCATTCCATAATCCTACACGAGAGATATCCTACAAGGAATTCGAATGAAAGAGAAAATTCATGAATATTCATATAAATCCAAAGAAATTACGATGGTATCAAAATATTGAATTTCGATAACCCTATGGAATCCCCTCTACAAATCCAAATTCAAATGATCCAGGCATTCCTGAAAAGAAGATCCCATCCCATGCCGACAACGCCCGTCGATCCGATCATACAAATTAACTTATAAAAATCCCGGGCCCCTTATTCAAGATCACCCTATCATATTCATCGCAAAATATGATATACTAGAGGGGACCCGTCGATTCCATCGACGACATATTCGCCTATTGAATGGAAGAAGACGTACGCCAAAGCTTTGAAGAAATACGGACAAATAAAAGATCCATTTAATTTCGGGATCCCTTTATAGAATTCTGAGAGCCTGACGCGCGAGCGTCAATAAGAACTCGAACGAATGATGAAGCGTGAAGGCAAGATTTAGGGATTGTCGCTTAAGATTTAGGATCTGGTTACCTGAAGGGACAAAGTGCAATATCATTTTGATGGATGATTGGCGGCAATATCTTTTTCTCTGTAGGAAATGTTTTGATTGTGCTTGCAGGCCCCTCGCGCAGGTATTGAGATGATCGTAGTCTTTTTGACGTCAAAGAACGTCTAATTTGAAGGTATTTTATCGTATTCTTCTTTTCGTTGATTGAATTTCTGGGTCTCATTTGGGTCGTCTTTTTTCTCCATTTTCTGACGCGATTCTGTGCCCTTGGGTTTAATTGGGGGCGGCGGTGGGTTTTTAATGCATTGCCTGGGGGCTTGGAATCGTGTGATGATTGTCGTGATACTTGACGACCTGATTGCCTTCACTTACATTCTAAGAATCTTTGAAGGTTCTGAATTGGTATTTTTAAACGTAGAAATCGTTTACACTGCTTTCACCTATCTAAGATACGTATGAAGACAAAGTGTCCTTCGAAGCCGGAAATTTATTCTATAAATGAAATTCATCATCCAAACGTTATGTGCGCCTAAACAAATGAAAGAGAATCCTCATCCACGAGAGCAAGATGAATTTCGAATTCTCCAAGATGCCTCGACGTGTTTAAAAATCCATCATCACCCCCAATTATAAATCATTCCATAAAGACGAAAAAAGAATAAGAATAATCGAAGATTCCTAAATATAAAGAATCAAAAGTGAAACGAACCATCGATTCAAAAACCATTCTAATGAGACGAAATATGATTTCAATCTCCTCCAATAATATCCATCGTATTCAAGAAAAAGATTCGATCCATGATCCTACGCGAAGGACATCCTGCAAAGAGTTCGGATGAAAAGAAAATTCATAAATCATTCTTATAGATCCAAGAACATTGCGATGGCAACAAGATGTTAGATTTCGACGATCCCAAACCACGGCCCGCCTGCACGAGACCACCACCACGAGACCACCACCACGACCACCAACACAACCACCCGCACGGACCCCCGCCACGGACCACCACCACGGACCAACCACCACGGACCACCACCACGGGACCACCACCACGGGACCACCACCACGGGACCACCACCACGAGACAACCACCACAAGACCACCACCACGGAACCACCACCACGAGACCACCACCGCGGACCACCGCCACGGACCACCGCCACCCGGCCAGCACCATGGGACCACCATCACGGGACCACCACGACGGCTACAAGGGACCATCACCGCCACCACCACGGACACCGCCACCACCACGACAGACCACCACTACCAAAGGAGCACCACCACCACGGGAGCACCACCACGCTATGGGACCACCACGACGAGCACCACGGGACCACGGACCACCACCACGGGACCACCACCACGGGCATTCGGGAAAACCCCCCAAAACCCCAACCTTTCAGCCCCAACCCCTCAGCACCCCAAAACCACCCACCCCCCACCACACCCGACAGAACCCAAACCATTACAGCAAAAGCAAAAAACAAAACCCCTCCAAAACACGACAAAACTCCGGACACAAACCCTATACAATTTCTATTAAACCCCAAAACCCTACACCGTAAAGCGTAAAACCCTGAACCCGGGGCATCCCGAAAATTCCCGGAATTTAAATTCCTAGGATTTTTCGAGAGCTGTTGCTGATATGTGATCGTGAGGCCGAACCCCCTTGAACAGCTGGCGGGCGGCGACCGTCATCGGAACTACCCTGGACCAAGCGATTTCCTTGAAGATTTCCTTGAAGGTGAAGGGGCACCCACGTCATCACTGTTGCGCTGGAACCTTAAATCCAACCCGGCAAGCCCAAACATCCGGACAATGCCTAAAATTCCGGGAATTTTCAGCTCCGGGTGATTCCCAAAATTCCCAGGATTTTTAGATAAAAAGTGCTAAAATTCCCGGAATTTTCAGGATCCCCCTGCAAGGCCCTCGCAAGCAGCCAAATGGACCGGAAGAGGAGGCGGGGCATCCGGCGGGGCGGCCGCAGAGCGAAAATAGGGGTCGAACCCGTAGCCTTTTATGGGGATATTATAAACCACGGACCACCACCACGAGACCACCACCACGAGACCACCACCACAAGACCACCACCACGAGACCACCACCACAAGACCACCACCACGAGATCACCACCACGACCACCAACCGCACGGACCCCCGCCACGGAGCACCACCACGAACCAACCACCACGGACCGCCGCCGCGGACCACCACCACGGGACCACCACCACGGAACCACCACCACGGGACCACCACCACGAGACAACCACCACGGGACCACCACCACGGAACCACCACCACGAGACCACCACCGTGGACCACCGCCACGGACCACCGCCACCCGGCCACCACCATGGGACACCGCCACCACCACGACAGACCACCACTACCAAAGGAGCACCACCACCACGGGACCACCACCACGCTGTGGGACCACCACGACGAACCACCACGGGACCACGGACCACCACCACGGGACCACCACCACGGGCATTCGGGAAAACCCCCCAAAACCCCAGCCTTTCAGCCCCAACCCCTCACCACCCCAAAACCACCCACCCCCCACCACACCCGACAGAACCCAAACCATTACAGCAAAAGCAAAAAACAAACCCCCACAAAACACGACAAAACTCCGGACACAAACCCTATACAATTTCTATTAAACCCCAAAACCCTACACCGTAAAGCGTAAAACCCTGAACCCGGCGGATCCCGAAAATTCCCGGAATTTTAAATTCCTAGGATTTTTCGAGAGCTGTTGCTGATATGTGATCGTGAGGCCGAACCCCCTTGAACAGCTGGCGGGCGGCGACCGTCATCGGAACTACCCTGGACCAAGAGATTTCCTTGAAGATTTCCTTGAAGGTGAAGGGGCACCCACGTCATCACTGTTGCGCTGGAACCGTAAATCCAACCCGGAAAGCCTGAACCTCAATCCGGGTGATTCCGAAAATTCCGGGAATTTTCAGATCCGGGTGATTCCCAAATTTCCAAGGATTTTTGAACAAAAAGCTTGAAAATTCCAGGAATTTTTCGGATCCCCCTGCAAGGCCCTCACAAGCAGCCAAATTGACCGGAAGAGGAGGCGGGGCAACCGACGGGGCGGCCGCAGAGCGAAAATAGAGTCGAGCCCGTAGCGTTTTATAGGGATACAAGCCAAATGAAATATCCAGCCTATAGAAAGTGAAATACATCGACCAAATAATATGTGCGCCCGGGCAAATGAAAGGGTAAGAAGAATTTCGATCTCTATAAGACGCCTCGATGTGTTTAAAAGCCCGCCACCACCCCCAATTACGAAATATCCCAGAAAAACCACCCCGAATCAAGAATAAAAATATCACCAGAAGAGAGATACAAAATAAGTAAATAAATTCCCGATTGAAAGATAAATAATTCGCATATCATTCTCTGAGTTTAGGATTTCATTCAACGTGGCGGTGCAAGAGACATATGTTCCCAAAAGCACCAATTAAGCATGAATCCTCTCATAGAGGGAATAATGACAAGAGACTTCTGTAGCCTCGCAATAGACGAAGAGAGATTTTATATTCGACCACGTCCCAAAAGAACTAACTTAACAACCAGCGTCTCGGATGACCACAAAACACCATCCACACGAGTCCTCAAATTCTCTTCCATACATTCAAACGCCCACCACCACCCCGAATTAGAAACGAATTTAGAGACTCGCGTCACGATCACAAGCAAACCGAGACCCCAGCAAATGGCCATAGACTCAGCCAACTCAACCAAATCTTGGCTCACTCAAGACAAATAATTTTTAAGAGATATAAAAGATTCTTAGTCCCAAAAGAACCAATTAATCCCAATATCGAGATCGTATTCCACATCTGTTGGATAGTCCCATTCGGATACAAACCGGAGTTGTGATAAACTGTTGCATTCAAGGTGCAGAGTCTTGACTTATAGGCCAAAGGTGTCGCCCGCCAGAGATCCTCAAACGCTTCGTCCAATTGTACCTCACGAAACTCTTGGACAAAGAGTTTCACTTGTTCCCAAATGCAGCGGCCCCAATCAATTCTCTGCTGCAAAAGTGCAGGGATTCATTGGAAGGCCACCTGAACTCGGAAGCGCTGATGGCGGACCCGATAAAGGCCCTTCAGAGCCATTTTCTTTGCATCCTTGAGGATCTCCTTGAGTGTGTCGGACGCAAATTTCGCTGCAAATATTCCAGCTTTCATTCCATACTTTGCTCCGATATTCTCCTTTTCGTACTCGACGACGTCGGTGGTATGGCTCGGCTGGGTCACTGCATTCATAGCCTGTCCTGGTTCTGATTGACGTCGACGTCGCAGTGCTCTCCGGACTGGTGTCCAGCGCAAACATCTGCCAACTGCTTGTAGATTCTGCCACGCCATACTTCATAGGCCATTCTGTCGCCATGCTTGTCGCTAAAGAGCAAGCCTCAGCCGTGCAACACAGCTCGGTGGTGGCACAACCTTCCGCGAAGCCGCTTGGCGAAACATGCCCTGGCCAGGGCGATAAAACAGGCCATTGGGAGTCGGGGGCAAAGATCTACACTGAATTCTTGGTATCTCACCCTGTTGGCTTGAGAGGACATAGAACGTGACGTTGTGATCTTGAGTGCGCAAACAACAAACAGTCAAGTCACGAACGCTCGTCAGTCAGCACAGGGCATGGTGCGATATTTTCTTACGGTGCCGATGCTCAGCAGGGGCAAATGAGCGCCCTTCTTTGCGGACCACATTCCGACCTTCTGGAAGTGGAAGGTCTCTGAGTCTGAGTGGGAGGACATACATACAGGGAAGGATCAACGTGGTCCGAAAAGAGGCACTGTTCTGCTCGAAGTCATTGGCTATGATAATGCAGCAACTATAGCCCGGCAGATTGTAGGTTCAGCAGCGACTAGCGGTGGAGATTTTCAGGGCCCGGATCCCGCATTCTGCCTTTTGACGAAGCTCCGCAGAACTGTGACAAAGCTTCCACGAAATGATTTTTTGTGGCTTGGGTATGCTGAAGTGCTGCCGGTTGTGGGGAATCGTTTATTGAAGGTTGTCTCAGTCTGCGGTGCCTACATCTCCACGTCATGGGGTGACACCAAAACGATAGCACGTTACAATCTCCCCCCCCCCCCCCCCTCGCCGACGCCGGGACGGGCCGGGACACAGCATATCGGGCATGTCAAGGCAAGTTGCAAGTTGACAAGATACAAGACTGTTGTGGGAGTCTGGTGGCTTCTTCTGAGGATCCGCTCAGACCCGCATCAGCCATAAGGCTGACGGACCTGCGCACAAGAGTGGCAGGAAGCGCTCCCACACTTCTCACCGAAGCCTATCCCAATGCAAATGCAAATTGCGTGATGATCGTGGCCATCACTCTATCGCAATCACAGACAATCACTGCAACCCATGGCCTGCTGCGGAAGCATCGGCTGCGGCGCGACAACTAGCTGGCGCGAGGAGCAGCCTGAAAACAGCAAAGTCCAATGCGCACTTCCCAGCTTACAGAGCTCGACCCCGGCTTTTCGCCATTCCAGGTGTAAGAACCGCACTCAATGAGCTTTGCATGGCGGGAGCGGCCTGGGCCTGCCACTCTGCTGTTTTCACGCGAGTCATTTGATTGAGAGTTCACCTTTGTTTCGCCCTTGTGATTTCACACGCGGCTCTGAGACGTCTCAGGTCGATGCAGGCGGATAGCGCATGGAAGGGGGAGCCGAGGCAAGAGGCGCCTGTGAAAAGTTCCACCGGTCTGAATGAAAAGTGCGAAGAGAAGACGAGCCTGGCGAGCCTGGTGAGCCTGTGGAGCCTGGTGAGCCTGTGGAGCTTGAGGCCTCTGCCGGTACAAAGCAAGGTGTGCCCAGTTGGATGGTCCCCTCTAAGCGTCGGGCGGAAAGGACACCATCTGCTGCATGGCAGAAGGCCCTAAGACCTCACCTCGCTCCTCCCAAAAAAGGAAGCTGCAAGCTCGTCGAGGGATGTCGAGGGTGCAGTATGCAAACTCGGCCAAACAAAGGCGCACAGCTTCTCCAACAGCTTTGTCCTTCATCTGCCTTTGCCATTCCGCATGCATCTTGGACTTCGACTCGTTCTGATATCTCTCCACCTAGGACACACGATCACACCATGGCGCCATCACTTGAGCTTACACTAGTCAGAGTGTCACTTTCACGCAGATCTCTTGCAGCACTTGTTCTAAACTTCCGCAGCAGCACAGCTGTGGAAACAGCATGCGCAACTAGTGAATCTCGATCGAGTCAGTCATGCAAAGAGCACGCAGGCGCAGGGCACGCAGTCACCGCAGAGCCTCCTTTTGAAGAGTGTTGTGCGAGTCCAGATACTGCCTGGCCAAAACTTCTCGCTGTTTCATTGCACCCAAAATCCAGGCCAAGGCCTGTGCATCTCTGCTTGTGTTGCAGCGAACTCCTCATGCATCTTCCTGGCGCAATGTCACGTGAAGCCCTTAGCCCTTCCAAGGCAGAACACTCAGCCTCTGCTGATACTCCAACGTCAGTGACCTGCACCAAAGACGACAAAGACTCTGCCGGCTCCTAGCGTCCTAGGGCGCCGTAGTGCGTCGTAGGGTCAGGGCGCTGCTTGTTGCTCCAGAGCAGCCCTGGCAGATGGAATGCTTTGAAACAGAAGCTGATAGAAGAAAATGTACACTGGTACACTTTCGCCTCTGGTCCAGGGCCGCCTTTTTCAGGCCCATCCTCGGAAGCTCCGAAACAAGACGAGGTGTTGGGGATTTTGGGGGGTCTAGGTTGCGGGGCCTTCAAATGTCAGCCCAGGAAGAATCTTCTCACACTCTGGGGATCACACATCGCCTGATTTGTTTGCTCATCCAGTGCCATTTCCTGGCAGCTCATACACTCCAGTGCATGAAACTGTGGAGTGTCCCACACGCCTGCATCTTCACTTGTTGGTCCATGTGAAGCCTCGGACATCCGACGCAGCTACCACGATATGGATCTTCAGCAATCTTAAGCTGGGGGTGTCTCCTCATTCTCGTAGCTTCAAAGCTAGCAAACCTCCCGGAGCAGCTCCAATAGCTCACAAACAGAGCTCGTGACAGCAGGGCTTGCTTCTGCTGCTCCGCAGCCTTGGGAAACATGATCTTCATTTGCTTCAGGATGCGGGGTTGAGGGTTTCGCCGAGATCTGAAGTTCCAGCCTCGTGGAGCTGCTTCTTCCTCTCGACATTCTGCCTGGCCAGCTTGGCGCTGGAATCAGTCCGGTGGCTCATGACGCTCGTGACGCTCGTGACGCTCGTGACGCTCGTGACGCTCGTGACGCTCGTGACGCTCGTGACGCTCGTGACGCTCGTGACGCTCGTGACGCTCGTGACGCTCGTGACGCTCGGTTCTTGCATAAAGGGGGTCATCAACAAAGCAGGAGCTGCTTCCGGCTTCCTTGCCTTGCAAGTAGAACTATCCGACGTATCAGAAGGTAATTGTCAGGCTCGAGTGCTTCTTTATCCAGGCTGGGACTCGGCCACCGACATGGCCCACGCATGGGCCATCCCATACTATATGGGGGTTACCGAAATTAGGGAGTACCTTGTTGGGGTCCTAAAAATAAGGGCATCAAACTATTTGGGGTCCTTTGTGGGGGTTCCCTATTTTCGTAAACCCCCATGTAGTAAATCATGGCGTGCCGGCTGCTGTAAAGACTTGTTCCCTTCCTCGAGCTGCAAATCCAGACTCCTCACAACAGCCGATTGAGCAAAATGACGATGAGTCCGGCTCTGTAGCGTTAGACCCTACCGCGCCAGCAACTCTCCTGCAGTATGCCTTCTTCTGATCCTCTATTGACGCTGGGTCCGGAAAGCCACGAGTGTAGGGCCCCTTAGATACTACTCCGGCAGACTGCAGGCAATGATGCTCGCAGTAGGTGGCCGGCGTCTGTGGCATCACTGTCTATGCTGGCCGGCGACGCCTCATGCAATGTTCAGAGATTTTTCTTAGCGCATGCGACTTAACCGGACTTGTCCTTTGTAACGAAGCACGTTGGGCAATCTTGGCCATTGAGCACCGCGCAGCATCTCTCTGCGTGCCTGAATGGGCACACAAGCTTCCAAACATTTTGGTCTTGTGATCCCGAAGTCAAGGCGGCCGCCCGTCAATGGAGCGGCATAGACCTCACTGGCACGCCAGGCTGCTCTCTGCGAATACAATCCTCCTTTGACTGTGCCAGTTGCGGGTCCAGCCGGTGCAGTCATCGGCATTGCCATTGAGCCAGGAGGGGCCTGAAACTGGTGAAGGGCACAACTGCAGGAGCTCGTTGCTCTGATGCCACGACACATCAATACTGGCGTGGTAAATGCATCCGGCGGTTATAATTCAGAATGCAATGAGACAAAGCTCGAGTTGATGGATTGCGATACATGTCTCTCTCGACGCCTACACACCAATCTGAAGGCGCATGCATTGCGAAGTAATCTCTTTACCGAAAGGGCTATGACTTATGATAAGCCACCGACCATCATGCTTGGGCCGGAGCTGGCGAAGCCTCTCACGTGGAAGAAGAAAACATGGGGACAAGAACTGAAAGAACAAACTTGTACCTGTATGCTGGAACACCTGAGCATGCCTCAACACCTTTCTGTTAATCAGACTACGCGAAGAGGCTCGAGGACGTAATCCCCGGCACGGGTTGCTACAAAATCAGCCGAGGGGCTCATGGGCCCCATAGACCCGGGCGCTGCCATGTATGGTGCATGAGCCTGCCAAGTCTTATGGTTGAGTAACGTGTTGCTTCGATCTCTTGACGAAACCACACATCAAAATGACCAGAGCATGATGGCACCCCAGCGCTCGGCAAGGGAAGCGTCGGAGGAGGCGGGCGAAAGCCAGCCGGCACGGCTGTAATGGACCTTACAACAGCTCTGCGTGGAAAGATGATGGATGTAAGGGGTGAGGGAAACGACCCAGTAGATAGTAGAGAGAGAGAGGGGGGACAAACAAAAGCAGGAGGCAGGGCAAGGCAGTCGGTGGCAGATGCCGTGGCATTCTCAAGAAGTGTCCGCAACAATGCAATAAAGCATTCTGAACGCGCTGCAAAAACATGTTTGTATGAACCTGAATGCTGCAAATAGAACGGTGCGAAAATAAAATAAAACACATTTGGCCGCAAGGAAGACACGAAGTAGAACGACAGGGTCGCGGCATGAAAAAGGCAACCAAGGGACCAACAGCAGCCACAACTAGAGAGAGAGAGCGAGAGAGCGAGAGAGCGAGAGAGCGAGAGAGCGAGAGAGCGAGAGAGCGAGCGAGCATCAAGCAGGTCTCTCAGGGCCGCGCATTCTTGCCTTCGCAGCAGCCGAACTCCTGGTTCCGGAGGAACAAACACATCCATCGGAAATGAAACTGTGGTCAAGCTCGCCTCGGCTGCAGACAGGTGCGACGTTGCGACTTGAGCCCAAAAGCACCAGCCGAACAAGTCCAAAGCAAATCCCCTTTGCCAAATTGCTATGTCGCCTTCCCGATTCCCGAAGCAACTCACCATTTTTTACGACACGATCCGTCAGAAAGGAGCCGCTCTCAGAGACGCAACCTCCGGTCGCACCTTGGCAGGACAAAAAACCCTCCACATCTCAAAAACTTCAGATATCTCAGCTTCCAAGCACCGAGTCACTGACCGGAGAGAAACCGCCATCCTGTCGCGAAGTGCTCTCTTTTTTGTTACATTACAAGTGCTGCTTATGAACACGGGCGCGGGTCTGGACGCATCTGGATCCAGCTTAGCCGCTTAGCCGTCACAGCCACGGAATGTGCATGCAACACGGGCATCTGAACGGCACAAGCACCTCTGACATGCTGGGTTGGTTCCCAACAAGTCGACACACGCAGTAGTGATGCCCACTTGCAAGAGTCATACGCAAAAACAACAATACACGTGCATATATATATATATGATATAGACTAACCCCCCCCCCATGTATCCATGCCCTGTGCTGCAGGTAACAAAATTCCTTCAAGACCAAAAGCAACGAAAAGACAATACAGACAGAATTCCCTCAAAACCAACACGCAAAAAAGACACAGAAAAGCCAAACTTGCAGTCAAGACAAAAAAGCCTGACAAACTCTCTCACACACACACACAGAGCAAGAGACACACACGCACGCATGCGCGCGCACACACACACGTATTTGATGGCAACACTGCTGCAAAGCGACACCGCTGCAAAGTAGTTTGACTGAGACGCTTAAACCGGCCTCGAAGCCGGACGGCTCCATGCCGTCAAACATAACATCCTTGGCCTGTCAGAGCGTGAAAGCGTGTTCAAGCTGAGGTGAAGGGTTCCGGGTCCATATTCCTGTTACTGATATTAAGACTTTCACTTTTCGAGGCGCCCTTCCTTCCCCCCCCCCGCGCTGTGGGTTCCTGACCTTCCTGCACAGGAGACCCACGTCCCGGTGCCAGGGTTTTGGTGGCCCCACTTTGGGACCTAACCTCCCTCTGGAACCCCACCGGCCCGGCTGCCGAGGCGGCAGCGCGCAAGCGTTTACAAAACACTACGACTGTTGAAAACCTTACATTATCCATGACATGGTTGCCTTTTCGATTGTTCCAGCGACCAGCAGGTCAAAGTGGTCCATTGTCTTGGGCATAAAGGCGCCGGGCGCTCTGTTAGAAAGCCATGCGCCACATGCTGAAACCGGCGAAAGCCCAGACCCTCGGCCTGCAGTTTCCCGCTGTCCCCGACTTCGATGGTGAAGTTGACCTGCTGCCCAACCTGCGGAAGGCCTGAGACAAGATCTGCGACCAACAGCAAGGTTGCTTAGCTGCTTCTCTGGAAACTGAGCTGGCTCGCCATTGGCATTCGATAAAGCAGCCTTGTGCAGAAAGATGTCCTCAGCATATCTCAGCATCAAAGCTGGGTACGCACAACTCTGGGGCATCATGGTTACTGTGCTATACTGTGCTGGCCTTGCCGGAGAAAAGGGCGGTGATTTCGTCACTGGTGACGAAGCCCCAACCCTTCTCGACATTGAAGAGCCTGAGGATGCTGGGAACCCCATTCGACCCTTCAGGCCTTCAGTTCTCCCCTTCTTGCATTCAGCTCTCAACTGCTCTTTTAACGCGCAAGCTTCCTCAAAGCCTCGGGAGGCTCTTGTCCAGCTTCCTGAATGACTTTCACGAGGGCACGGGCCAGGCGGACTTTGTCAGATGCCCCGAAATCGCAGGTGAAGAAGCTCACGGCCGTGCCGACTGCACCTGCTCTTCCTGTTCTTCCGATGCGATGCACGTAGTCTTCAATGGTATTGGGCATGTTGTAATTCACCACATACGCCACGTCTTTGATGTCCAAACCTGATCAGGGACTATAGGGCTCAGCAAACACATGCAGCATGCACGTAAAGCTGCGAAGCGATGGTACCGCCACAGCTTCAGCGCAACATCTTCTGCTACCCATGTGAGTGGGTGGCCATAAGCCACCTCTTCTACCCTTATGCAAAATCATCATGGTGACGGTACAGGGGCAATAGTCAAGAGTCCACACAGCAGCTCACATGGAGGCTTGTAGGGGGATTCACGGTGCTCCTGCGCGCATGGTCCGTGTGAAGTGCAGGACGCCTCATCACTTTGGGGCCCTAGAAGAGCCCTTGGAGTGGACACGGCCTTGGGGTGCTGTTGCTGTCTCTGAAGTTTTCTTGAACTGTTCGGGGTCTGGGTCGGCTTCATTTGTGTTATAGGGGCTTCCATTATAAATTATAGACGGACCTTTTCAGAAGGGACCCTACGTTGGAACGTCTCCCATACTCAGGCATACTCCCTTCGATCCCCATGTCTGCCTCTCTGGGCGACGTCTGTGGCAACCAGAATTTGGCACCGGCCTTTCCTGAATTGATACAGAATCGAGTCACGCTCTCGTTGGTCCTTGTCTCCGTGTATGGCGCTCGCCGCATACTGCTCATACCTCAACTCTCTGCACAAGGCATCGGCGGCTCGCTTCGTGTCGGTGAAAACCAGCATGCGCGGCTGCGCGCCCTGTGGAGGTGATACTTCCTGGAGCCATTCAAAGAATCGCTGTTTCTTGTCCAATTCCGTCACGATGCGGACGTCTTGTAGAATGCTTGGGTTGGCCTTTGCTGCTGAAATTCCAATTGTCACCTTCAGCGTGTCTTCTTTGCAGAAGTCTGTAGCCAAGTTCTGGATACTTGCAGGCCAGGTCGCAGACCACATCAAAGTCTGTCGCTCTGGGCGTACTTGTGAGACAATTCGTCGCAGCTGCGGCTCGAAGCCCATGTCCAGCATTCGGTCTGCTTCATCGACAACGAGATAGGACACGCGCTCGAGGTTGGTTACTCGTGCCTCCAAGAAGTCGAGCAATCTTCCAGGCGTGGCGATGAGGATGTCCACACCCTTGCGCAGAGTCTGCTCTTGCCCGCGCCTCGACACGCCACCGTACACAACAGCATCACGGACTCCCAGAAGCTCGCCGATGCGAAAAGCTTCCATCTGAATCTGCATCGCCAACTCACGCGTGGGTGCCACGACAAGGCTGACAGGGCCCTCTCCTGCTTCAACGATGGGCTGTGCCTTGATGTGGAGCATTGCTGGGAGAAGGTATGCGAGGGTCTTTCCACTGCCTGTCTGCGCTAGCCCCACCATGTCTCGTCCAGACAGAGCCACCGGCCAACCAACAGACTGTATGGGAGTTGGAGCAGCAAACTCTGCTCTGAGATATTCGAGGACTGATCCTGGCAAGCCTATGTGCTCAAACAAACGAATTGGCTTCGGAAAGTCCTCAGCACCCTCAATATGCGCATCATTCTGCCGCAAGAAGTCCTGCACTTCCTGGCGAGTCTGGGCAGACACTGCCGGGTGCTCCTTGTAGGCCTCAGAGGCCTCTTTCGGAGGAGTCCGTGTGGACCAATCGATAGCCTCCAGGTTCATGCCAGCATGGCTCATGTCTCTGTGTTCCTTGTGTTCCACGTGTTCCGTTTCTAGCCTTTCAGATGACCCCACAGCGTCCCTCTGCATCTCCCAAGCAGATCCCTGCCACTCGGGCTCTTGCAGCTCTTTGCTGGCTTCTGAGCGCATGGGCGTGGAGTGCGTGGAGTCTCTGGGCATCGGCGGGATTGCGGGCTGCGGAGGGGGCAGCGGAGGGGGCAGGGGAGGGGGCAGGGGAGGTGGCGGAAACGGCGGGGGCTGCGGCAGTTTGGATGGCTGCATCTGTGACTCGGGCTCAGGTGCAGAAGGCAAGGCTGGGGACTGGGCGACATGGCTGTCACCATGAAGGAAACTGTTGACGCCCTCTTGCGCTTCTGCTGCTGCCGCTGTTTCTGTCTCCTCCTTGTCTGGGACCCTTGTGGATGGCGATGATTGCTGTGTCTTTGGCTTCGCCATACCTGCCCATGCCGCTGGCTGCTCATCGATGGGGACAAAGGTGTCGTCATCGTACAGATCCGGTCGTCGACCAAAGCCCTCTGTCATCAGCGATCTCACAGCTCCCGCTGAATGAGGGACAGCTCTCGGATAAGGGGCCCGCATGATGCGCAGGCCAGGCCACAACAGTTTCGACACCCGCTGTGCAGCCATCATGGCAAGCGAGAAGCGAAGAAGCGAGAAAGAGGAAAAGAGAGAGAGAGAGAGAGATAGAGAAAGAGAGTGAGAGGGAGGGAGAGTGTGAGCGTGAGCGTAATCCCAAACCCTAAACCAGTAAAATGCGAACAGATGACATTCAGTTAAGACGAGTAACAATCGAGTTGGTCGATTTGCAGGAGCTGTTCAGAGGCTAAAGGAGCTGCGGGGGCAGAGTCGATCTTTGCGACCATCTGATGCAAAAGAGTACGTGCAGCCGTCACGAGGCTGAGTAGTTGGCTTTACCACACCATAGAAGCGTCTTCCTGGCCTGACAAGACTTTGAGGGCTGTTTGAGCAGTTGCATACCTGGCCCTGGATGGTGGCCTACTCCAAGATGTTTACCCAAAGAGATTCTCATTGAGGCAAGCCGCCGCCCTTCGATCTCAAAGGTCTCAGCAGGCAGAACCTCCAAGGAGTGCGAAGGGCATGTGCACACATGCAAGATTGCAAGCAGGTGGTAAGACATCTTTGAGCACTGAGGCGAGCTGCTGACAGTTCGGACACCTGTCGAAGTGAAGTGATGACAACCTCTCTGCCTGCGCACCCTGCTGGACCATCAGGCTTCTGCAATGCTGGCCTGTGGACCCTTCGGTGCCATGATAACCTCCGCAGCAGTTCTAGCATTGAGAAGGCTTCTCTAAGCAGGAATTTCGACCTTGAAGCCCAGAAGAGTGCCAGGCTCCACAGTGGCACCACCTAAGCTCTTTCACAGCGCGTACCGAGGACCGAGCCAGGCGTCCACAGGACCCCGGCCAAGTGTGCTCTTTGGCAGGAAAACGTCCTTTCCCCATATGGCTCGTGCAGCCTGCAAAAAAAGGAGGTGGCTTGGCGGGAGAAGGGATGAGGGAGAAGGGAGAAGGTATCAGGAGAAAGGGAGAGGGAGAGACAAAGACAAGGAAAGAGACAGAGACAGAGAATAATGTGAGCGCAGTGGCTCTTCAGAAGCACCCCTCACCCCTCTTCATGCACCGAGCTTGCCTGGCAGGAAACGTGTCCCCATCCCTTCTCTTCGCTGTAGCCTTGAAAGCAGCTCTTTCAAGAACGTTCAGCACACTCAACATGTATAGGCGAAGACGCGGCACCATGCAAAAGATGCCATAGCCAAAGGCGCCAAAGCCCAGCTGTTAGTGTCATTGTGCAGCACTCAAGATTTGAGGCTGCTCCTTCAACTTCACGAGAGAAACTGTGGGAAGTTACAGAAGGCGGGCAAGAGCACCACACGAGACAATCCATGTTTCGGGAAGTCCTGAACCATAGCAAGAGATACAGCTAGGAATGAAAGGGTCAAGATGGTCAAGTCAGAGCAGGCCTTTCACAGCTCCAAAGAAGAGTTGGTCAGGTGCAGGCAAGGCATGCGCAGGCCTGATAAAGACGGTTGGGGAAGGCTGAGGAAGGGACGAAGGGACGAAGGGACGAAGGGACGAGTACTAGGACTAGGAGAAAATGCGAGCAGAGAGACTACAAGTTAAAACCATTTGGCACGCATCATGCAGGACGAGGTACAGCTGTGGGATGATGGTCCGATGCGAGCGCGGCCCCAGAACAATCGAACCCAATGCCCGCGCCTTGACATTGCCATGCTTGCAGGTGGTGCGAGCATGGGAGGCAGTGACGACATGGGATTCATTGAAGTCATTGAAGGTGCCGAAGTCCTCCGACAAGAAAAATGGGCGTCACTGAAAGAGCCCTCGGAAAGCCCCAATGAATCATCCACTGAGAAAGCCAGGGCCGAGGCATCGCAGACATCGCGGAGAGTGGAAACACTTTCTCTGCCTTTCAAGGTGGCTTCCAGGTGGCCCCCAAGGTGGCCCCCAAGGTGGCCCCCAAGGTGGCCCCAAGGTGGCTCCAGGTGCAAGAAATAGCTTTACATCGCTTTGCTCCTGAGGTCCTCTGCCTGCATCCCCTTCGCCCCGGCCACCACAGTAAAGGAGACTTGCCTCAGAATCACAAAGCATCTCGCCCCAGAACTTCCTTCACAAGGTAAGGCACCAACGCATCCCTCTCAATGGCGCCGCCCACGACGGAGGACTTCATGAAAAAGACATCCTGGCATGGCACGCTCCTACACTGTGACACTTACACCTTCGCACAGGAACCGAGCCCGTGTGGCCAGCCTTCCCAAACATCTGCACGACTTCCGGACTTGTGACAAAACCCCAACCTGCAGCAAAGCTTTGCTGAGCTACGACCAAAAAAAAACATTATCCAACCAAGATGCCCTTTTCTGCGTTGTAGGACTTCACTGTCCCAACCATTGTGGAGCCTGATTCCGAAAAAGCGCAAAAGCCAGGAACACTGCCACAGAATGGAAGAAGGATGCTGTTTTGTGAAGATAATTCGCTTGGTTTAGCTTTCGCACCCCTCGCATCGGGCCGTGAACATTCCAAATCGCAACAGACGACGCTCTCGGCACTTCCAACGACATCCGCTCGGTGTATTCCCCCTGTGCCGCCATCGCTTCCTTCCCTTTGCTAAACCCAACAAGAACCAAAAAAAATGACAGACACAAAATACATCCATCACTCAAGTAGAATTCCCACGGAGGCTACCTGTCCTGCAGGCTGACTCATGGGCTGGCTGTACAAGGTCGTTGGGGCTGGCCGCGCCATTTGCGGCTGAGCAAACCCATGTCCTTGCTGACAGGCGTTGCGTGCTCAAAGTGATTCCTAGTAGCAACTCAGGGCCCCCGCCATTCATGGCCACTTGGGGAACCTCATGGCAAAAACCCCAGAGATGCGAAGCTCGGCATCGGAGAGCCGAGGCCCGAACGGGTCTCGTGGACCCCAGCACCACAACATCGGCAGCCTTCCGAACTCCGAATATGCACGCGACCCTCATGAGCCCCTTAGGCCCTCTTCTGAGATGTTGCCATGCGGTCATGCGTGGGAGACATCTCTGGACTACGATCCAAAAACATCGAGCTGCGTTCTGCCCCGGTGCTACTGGACACAGGGAAACACAATGAAACACACACACACACACACACACACACACACACACACACACAGAGACACACACACACACACACACATTGGCTTTGCACGAACTGATTGAATAGCAGTCGTGGAGAGACAAGAGAGAAAGAGGAAGGTGTGCGAATGGCACGACGAGCTTGTTTCGTGCTAGTCCAAGGGAATCTTTGACCTGGAAAACTGCAGGTATGTTTTCTTCGTTGACCACCGCCCCCTCACAGCCTTAGTGGTCCCCTCCAAACTTGTCAGAAACTTCTGCGTCAGATCGGATACATGGTACAGGTGTGTACACACACATAGATGTATACATATATCCACATGCGATACACATATAAAAGATACATATTTATCGCTGAATCCAAGAGAACTTGGCCCTGCCAGCGAACTTCTTGGCACTGTCTCTGAGCCGGGCCTGTGGTCCTCGCCCGCTGTCCATCACGCTAAACATGACCTCTCCAGGACTCGCCGGATCTCGCCCCCAAACTCCCAAAAACCCAACAACAAAACAACAAAAAAAAAAAAAAAACACGTTTTCGACTTCCGGACCGACCTGGTCACCCTGACCACCGCCCTGCAGCGCACTCCTCAACACGAAGATGTCCTGCAGTGGTATTGGGTTGCAAGGAACTGCTGCCGGGTTGTTTTCCAGGAATCAAGGGGGCCTTGCCGTAGATGGCATGTGTCTGAGGACACTCAATAAAGCCCCAGCCTCGGAAGAATTGGGACAACAAAAACTCAATCCGTTTGAAATCCTGTGGTGCGGGCCTTTGGCTTCATTGTAGGACCTGACGGGTTGAGGTAACTACCTGACATCCCTCTATCCTCTCAGCCTTTCGGGGGTCGCACTTCACGAATCCGGTGTACTGCGCCATGGGATCCTGAAGCCAAGTTCGGGTGTCTGCCAGCTTTGTGTTGGCTCGGCAAGCACATCCGAATGCTCAAAGTCTTGCCAACTCGAAAGCTCATGCAGAATGATGGGCAACAACTTGTACAATTGAAATCACATCCTTTCCATTGCGAAGATGTAGCTTAGATCTTGACCGCTGGCTCATGTAGTTTACGATCACTGGCGTCAATGCCTGTTTCATTTATTCCATAGACTTTGTCTCCAACTTCTCAACTGCCAGACACGGCCGCACATCTTCTCTTCAGAACACGGCTCGAAAGTGTCCACTGCAGGTTTCGTCCGTACATGATCCGTCGCATCGCTGTATACTGTATGCTGATTCTGAATGTGCAAGTACTTTGAAACTTGAAGCGTTGCATCTCTTTCTTGCTGAACAGATCCAATTGCTGCTTGGAATCAGATGGTGAGAGGAGGGGGTCTGCAAAGGTACCGCGGCTGCTGACAGAAGGTGCCGGCCTGGCGTCTCCGACTTCACTACGCTCCCATGGCTGCATCCTGTGATGCCTGTGATTTGCAGCCCTCTGTTTGAGCCAGGGGTATCGAGATGGCGCTGCAGGAAGTCTGAACACGAATTAAAAACACAGGCGACCTCATCCAAGCTCGCTCCCATTTTGTACCGAAAGCCTCCACTTGCGATGCATTGGCAAGAGGACAATAGAGCCTCAAAGATCTGAACGCGCAAAGAACTAGCATTTGCCTAATGTTCTAACCGTGAAGATCCGAGCCACAATGCATCTTCTTTGCGGCGTACTTGCCCATTGCACCGATGCTTTGTGGCTCCGATTCACAAGCACTCTCATGGCTGTTGCCATGTACCTGGACCATCCCATGCCCATGCATCCTGAATCTGCACAAGACCAGCCCGGCCTGCCAGGTTTTGGAATCAGACTGGCCGACTCTGCCAGGCCTTGGGGGCTGGTTTTCCCAGAGGTTCCGCACCCAAAACCTCGGACTTCAAGAAGTGCAGCGCCAGCTTAAGCTGTCGGCTCTCTGCCAAGACAGGGAAGCCTCAGGAGGCAAGTAGCCACGTGAAATCATGAGCGGCCTTATTTGCCTTGTCTCAACGACCAGCTGGCCTCGTCCTGTACGACACCGGCTGCCTGGCACTGAATGAGAGCAGGCTGACACACAACATGAAACAACCCACGCAGCCTGCGAAACTGCTGGAAGTCTGCCCACCAGCTCACGCCTGTGGGCATTGTGCTGTCCTTTACGTAATTGAGCATTCATCAAGAAACTGTTCAACCTTTCTCCCTTTGACCATTTCACTGCTGCGCTTCATAGCGGGAGGCAAGTGCTGAGAGCAGCACATGGGCGCTGAGGCAGCACAGGGTCCCGAAACACCAGGGAGCGAGTACCTCCGAAACTATGACAGAAGTGTGCAGGCACCATGCAACTCGATTGCAGTGGCAGCATAATCATCGTTCGTCCTCTTGCACCCCGTGCTGTTGCTATCTGCCGGTAAAGCCCAGTGAATGCGCACGATCCCGCACTGAGTGCAATGGGCAGGGGAGGACCGGGAGGACCTAGCAGAATGTGGCGACGCCGGGAGCTGGAAGGTTAAAAGCCATGCTCTCAGTCATACTCTCCGCTTAGCCGCTCGCCTGCCGCGCGATTGGTTCTGACCTTTCGACAGCTCTAAGCCTAAAAAAAGCCGTGTGTGTCTGTGTGTGTGTGTTAGGTTAAAGCATGCCTCGCCTGCTGAGCTGTGACTGCCGCCTGCTGCGACGCTTGTACCTCGTGTTTCCACAAGAACTGTGCCAAGGATGCTACAGGCGGCGGATGACGAATTGAGTGGAGCGCCGCTTGCTGCGCTATGAAGGCGCGCTGCTGAGCTACCTTCCACCAGTCAGACATTGCCCATCATTGCCCTGTGGCTCAAGGCAGAACCAGGAAAAGTGAAGAGCCTGGGCAGTTGCTGCCTGCTGCTGGGCCTAAAGAAACCGATGGAATCTGCGCTGGCTTCAACGACAGGAGAAAGGCACATGCCTGCAGCTCCTTCATTTCGTCGTTGTACTGGAGCTGCGTCTGCAGTTCAGATTAGGAGTCCGAGAACGAGACTGGCTGTGATGATCTGCAACATGCTGCAACCCTACAGTCCCTGACTGCCTCGTACTGCTGCTTCTGAAACTGGTATTGCTGGAGGGCCAAATCCTAAAAACTCGCAAGCTTCGTCCAGTGCCGGAAGAGGAGGGAAGAGGCGGTCTGACAGGTCCTCCTGCGCTTTCTTCTGGTTGTACTCCAGGAGCAATGCATTCGCCTGCATCTTCGCACTGGATAATGCCCACACCGAGGTTCACCCTCTAGACCGTACACTTGCTTTACGCGAAGCAGTGCAACCAAGGCGAGGGAGCTATGTAGCTCACTCCGACAATGTCACATGTCTGACATGCACCGGGGTAAATGACTACAAACCCAACTACTCAACGGCCTGGTGCTCCAAGGCAGACTTCTGCTGCTGCGCAGCCTGCTGAAGCAATAGCAATTGCCTCAGCCCACAGACGCACATATCCACACATCCATCCACACCTCATGTCAGAAGCCCGCGTGCCCGGCTCATTGTGCTGCTGTGCCAGTTCCATTTCCTGGGAACTGCCACATGCTGAGCTTGACAGCAAAATTTCCGACAATTAAGACCACAGCTCGCTGCTTTATCTCCTGGTCCACCTGTCGCCGGGACTTTGCTCAAAACAGTCTCAGAATGCTGCGCCGCTGCGCTGTATGCAACCGGGATAAACGCAACTGCTGGCCTGCAAAGCATACTGCCTCTTCCGCTGATCTCCCATCTAGGTCAAGGCAGCGATGCGTTGGTATGCCGTGGTATGGCGTCCAAAGTCAACAGTGCAAGGCGCTGACAGCGAACAAGTTGTCAGACTGTTGCTTCAGTTGTTGTGCAAGAACTTCTGTTCCATGCCTCACTTCAGGGTGGCTCAGCTACATGTCCCCCACCATCCACGTTCAGCGCACATCGTCCATTCTAAGCTCCCTGACTTCAGCTGATCGTCCAGCCCCCGAGCATAAGCGCTCTTTTGTCGCTCGATCGATGTGGGATCTGGAAGTCCTGTGGAGACCGCAAGGAGCGCAAAACAAGCATCCTTCCACCGGCCCTAAGCTTGGCCCTAAACCCTATCAAACCCTATCGACCGATTTTTTGCGAGGGCCTGCCGTGAGACTTGGAGGCACCTGCGGTTCCACCGGCGCCGGCGGCTCCTTTGCTTTGGGGCACAAGATGGCGCAAGTGTCGCCTTGGGGGGCCTTGGGTGACGGTACGGCTACAGGATCCTCTCTGAGCCTCCAGTCTACACAGGCGTGAGGCGGCACCCCCAAGCTCCCAACATATGCCGAGCTACAGCTCCCAGAGCCATGGCCGGTGCAGCTGGCAAGGGCATTCCCGGCGTTACTGCTCCCCATTGGGGCACCACTGGAGTCGAGCTCCCTGAGAGTGGGGCCTCGCATGCACAAGCTGGACTCGGTCTGAAGAAACTCGATGCTTATGTACAAATATCACAGCAACACTCAGCCCATCAAGTCAGGAGAGGGTTCACCGGCTGCATCGGACAGCGACATAAGAGTGATGAAGATCCCATCGGTCCAGACGACAACGGCGACGTACGCGTGTGCTTTGTTCAGTCAGCAGACGGCTGGGATACCTTTTCATGTCGACCTACGCCCCCGTGCAGCATTGGTGCTTTTTGGGTGCCACTGGGGTGGAAGCCACATGTTGTACCTTGCGGCGGTTGTCATCTGCAGCCTCGAACGGTGCTCTTGCCTTTTTGTGGTCGCTTCTAGGCTACAATCATTGTGCTCGGTACGTTGCCCGACCCACAACCGCATACTTATGGTAAGACGATCATGGCCCAGCTTTCACACGTGGCTCGACAGTCGACATGGTTGTGAGTTCCACAGGGAAGGACACAAAGTCGTCTTCGCTTCCTTGCCCTGCTCTTACGTGCACATGCACAACAAGATGTCCAAAGAGCTACATCTGAGAGCCAAGCCCTGGCCATTGTTGGCGACTCAACGCTATACCTGTTCTTGTAGGTATGTCTCAATGTCAGCGCGTGGGGAACAACATTGGAGATGGCAAGAAGGCGCATGATTGTAACACCCTCGAAGAGTTACAAAGATTCAGCTTAGCTGCAACCAGCTGCTCTTCAACTCTCACACATGCTCCCTGTTTGCAGGCGTCTCCGGTGCCGTAGCATTCTCACAGAGATGTGTGCCTGATTGGTATAGCAGGCAAAGACGCCCTTGTGTTCGCTATGACGGACGGCCTGAGAGCTGGAAGCTAGCCGTCAGCCCACACTGTTGCGGGGCAAAACTGACAACGCGACAAAAGACACGCGGTGGTAAGAAACCGGCAGCAAACACGAAGCTCCCCCCGCCACCTTTTTGCTTCAGAGTACGCATCGAGGCCCTGCCTTGGAGCCTCAGAGCCTCGGAGCCCTCAGAGCTATTGATGTGCTGTTCAGAGGGCTCCCCGAATGCCTGCACTGCGGGCACGGCAGGCGCGTAGGACGGAATCCTTGTGGACGCGTACCTCACATCTTTGGTGGACATTGGTACAAACTTGTGCAAGAATCATTGGTCTTTGGTAGAAGGAGCAAGATGCTGCCCAAGGACACAAGGTAAGCAGATGTAAGCAGGTCATGGCTCCGAGCAAGGTGCCCATTGGAGGATACTGCATTGGAGACTGCAGAGAGTGTTGCGGCGGGCGCCTCCTGACAATGTTTGGCTTCATCTGGAACTCAGCACTACCCTGATGCACCCTCAAAGGTTTGCGACATCTCTCGATGTAAAAAGCACTGTCTCTCATCAGTTCCTTGTTGCACACAGTGACAGACATCTCGATGAGCTCAAGCTAGATAAAACGGGAACAGAACATCCTGTTACCGCCCTCTGGGGGCGGTAGTTGCTACCAGCTACCATCGGCTCGCAATGCATCCGGTCTTACTCGGAAACAGC